CAGGACTTTGGACCACTGAGCAACAGGACTTTGGACCACTGTGCTTCATTAAGACCACAGTCGACGCAGCCGTCTACCAGGAGATTTTGGAGCATTTCATGCTTCCTTCCGCAGACGAGCTTTATGGGGATGCTGACTTCATTTTCCAGCTGCCCACACTGCCAAAAGCATATCAGTCTCAGGAACATAAATTAAACTCTATAGATTGTAAATTGAATAGAAACCTTTGGTATTACTCTTAATAGTATATTTTTATCTTTTCCAGGGTGTAAATTACCGGTTGCGGGGTAGTTTGACAGCTATTAAAACCAGAGCACCACAGTTGGGAGGTAATTATTATTGTTTATTATTATTTCCTCTGTTTTAAAAAGAAAAGTGATAACATTTCTTGATGGACATGGTCTTTACTTTTCTTTAGTATAGTATATAACTGAAGAAGGGGCTACTATAGCTGTGTCATTATCTGCCCTGTGCTTTTGACGATAAAAAGAAGGGAACAAAAGCCTATTTTCTTTTAAATTAGGAAAAGGTAACATTTGACATTTCTCAATATATGTTTTACTTAAGCGTTTCCTTCCTAGGTGTGGAGAAGAAAGACCACCTCTTTCAAGTGCCATGCCTACCTAAGCAGGGATAAAAGAACACTTGATAGTTATCTTTCAAGATTTGAGAAACTTTTTTTGCCCTGCTAGAGAATAGATTTCTTCTTTCCTGTCTAAGCAAGGAAATAAAGTTATTTAGAAGCATAAATCAATACTTTCAACAAACATTCTTATATATACATTTGTGAGAGAATATGTCTATGTTCAATTCCAATGAGAGAACAAAACAGTTATCTTAAAAGAGGGTAAATTGTTATCATTTAATGTATGAACTGCTTACTTGGCTTAGAGGTTAACGCCTGGGCCAGGAGTCATGAGTGGTGAGACTTGAGTTCTAAACATGTCATGGGTACAAAAGCCACATGGGTGGTTTTTGAGCCAATTACTCTGAGCTTTAGTGGGGTGGGGGCGGAGTGGCAAACTACTTCCAGAAACTACATGGTCTTGTCCATATAATCACCAGGAGTCCAGAATGGCTTGAAAGAAGAAGAAAAAAAGTATCTTATTTATTAAGTGAACTGCTTTTAGAAATTAAGGAGATGCTGTTTTTAATCAAATGTTCTTACCTTTTGGAATATCCCTAAGGAACTTTGGTGGGCATTAATTATACTTCCTTTTGGTGTTAAATTCTTGAATATTTGATATGTTTGGTCATAACCATAGATGTTGTTTCATTTTTAATTTAAAACAAAAAATTCTCTAGCTTCTTTTGCTAGGATCCAAATTTAAAAATGACCACTAAAACTTTGGTTATAAATTTTGAATTATTTTTCATTCAAATAGGTAGCTTTGCTATCTGGGGTGGTCTCTTCTCCATGATCGACTGTAGCCTGGTGAAAGCAAGAGGAAAAGAAGATCCTTGGAATTCTATTTCCAGTGGTGCTTTAACAGGGGCCATTTTAGCTTCAAGAAGTAAGGACTACCTATGAACATTTTTTAAAGCTTTCTTTTTAAATTTATTTTTATTTTTAAACAAACAAACATAAACAGACATAAGACATAAAAACCATCCTCCAATTACATACAGTGTGTCGACTGGCTACAAAACGTTTGTGCTCCCTCACCATAGTCTTCGCTTACAATTTATGTAAAATCTCATATTATCAATCTAATATACGTATATGCATACAATTATTATCATTATTGAACATTTATTTGACTACAACCATTATTACTTCCTTTTATGTGAAATATTCTAAGTTTAGAATAAATTTACATTGTGGCATTTCATCACATCATCCCTAAACCATCCAGTAATATTACATCTTTATATTGTATTCTGTATGAAATTGTTTATTTTTAGTTACAAAACTTTTATGCATCTTCTCCATAGTCCTCACTTACAATTTATATAAAATTTCATATTATCAA